ACGTATTACCACACCTTCCTTGGACACAATGCTTAACTGAAGTCGTAGGACGTGTTGTTTATAAACATCTCCCCATATTTTTCCCGAAGGACATAAAATCCGTTCCCAACAGAGCAACCTTCCTGCACCTCACAATCCGCAATCCCTTCTTTTTGGAATCCTCAATACATACATTTCATATCTTCTACGATACAAACTACCAATTCATTCTGCTTCGTTCCCCAAATAAAAATCCGGTACAATGTTCCACCGTCCAGGTCACCCTACCAGTACCGAAAAGGAAGATCGTATCTCCCAACTGAACAGAGCGTACGCTCACTCAACCGACAAACAGGACAACCGCATCGTCTACGTCTCGGGCATGCTCAACCCCATGCCTCTTGCTCATGCTCTTCCGCTCTTTCGTCGTGGCCACTATCTGTACAATGAGCATCTCCAAGTCGTGAAGCCAGAGTACATCAAACACAGCAGGTACTGGTTTCTGAAGCCCTGGGAACGCCTCCGACCATCGGAGAATCTAAAGACGTACTTGAAGGGGGTTTTAGGCGATGACACGGAGGAAGGGCAGATGGTAAAGGCCCCGCCGAGATGGCACGACACTTTGCCTGGGAATCCATCCCAATGGCAACGAGCCGTCCCGGGTGCCTTCGACCGTGACTTCGAGAATGTTGAGAATGCTTTGGCGGTGCGGGAGGGAGGACGTACGGAGGGTCAACCTGAGGGTGAGTTTACTCTATTTCGCCAGACGAAATCAAGAGCAATGACTAATCTTCATGCAGCGGAGCGTACTGTACCAGCAACTCCCCCAGTCCAACGTGCAGTCCCGGTGACGCCACCTCCTGGCGGTACGATGGTAGCGCCTCAACCCTCAGCATACTATCGCACCAGCGCGCAAGGAGGCCGATCCGTACAGAGAATCGCCATAGCGCGCATGGGCCCTAGCGCGCAAGACTTCCTGCGTACGGAGGATTTCAATCTTCTCCAGACCAGCAGGCGTCTGCAAGCTATGCTCAGCGCCGCTCCGCCCAGCCCCCCATACGGCGCCATAGCAGCGGCTCCGTACCTCTCCGCGCCGCCTACGTCCGCCCACCTCCGGCCAGGCCCCGCTCCGTACGCCCCCGCCTTCCAATCCTTGCCGCCCGCCGCGGTTCCGTATAGCAGACCGCCGCACCTTCATACCAGGGACGGAGGCCAGCATGGGTACTACGCGGCCCATCACTATCGCGGAGAACGGGCTGTGCGTCACCATTATATAGTTCCTGCGCCTGTTGGCGCTTCCGCTGCCGCTGGTGCGTCTGCTGTACAGCAGGAGGTTGAGACGGAGGAGACGGGCGGGTATGTTGGGTACCATGTGGCGATCGCGCCGGGAGGTGGACGTCGGGGTACAACTTCGTTGCCGGATTTAGGGAGGGATGTGAATGAGGAGGCGAGTGAGGGTACGGTTGATGGGGAGGGTGAGGGATTGGGAGATACGGCTACCGAGGTGGAGTACCGGATGGCCAGTCGTATGAGGCGTCGATCGAGTGTGTAAGGGTACAGATAAGATGTTTGCCCCAGATGAATTCACAGGATGGATGATATGGTACTGTAGGTATAGCATAGGCTATGATTATTGGTGGGAAGAGTGATTTTATGATTCATGACGGTTTTATCGATGGGTCTAGAGATAGAGAACAAATAGATGTTAGATATTGTATACCAGAACCGGTTTCATTGTGCCTTGAAATCCACTCGCTTTTGATAACCATAGTGTCAGATGAAGCTTCAGCATCGACATCCCTCTGCATCCGCTCCGCTATATCCCTCCCGAACTCTGGAAAGTCACTCAGTATCTTAGCGAGCTGTTTAGAACACTTGGCCTCCATCTCTTCATATTGATCGACAATGAAGTTGAGTAAGACGGGCCTCATAGTCAGCTCGTCGTCGCCATAGGGCTGGATTTCCGTGTAATAGATGCGCCGCATGAGCCTGAGAACTAGTTCCGGAGACCACTTTGTCATATTGAATCTTCTCCGCGACCAGATTTATCAAGTCCTGAAGCAACATCTCCGCAGCAATCTCGAATATCTTCACGCTATTACGGAACGCGGTAACCATTTGATTCTCCCCAGAAACCCCTTCGAGATACCTAGATTCAGCGTCTTCACCTCGCAGAGGTGGCGTGTAGTCGCCAGATTTGAGGAACTCTGCCACATACCGGAATGTAGCTGGAGGGAACCTGTGATATTCTTTTCGCTTAAGACATGGCTCTATATCTTCATCGTCGTATATCTGCCTTGAGAGATGGGGGATGAAGCTTTTTGGCACTTCGAATTCTTTGTCTTCCTTCCCCACGCAGATTGTAACAGTGTTAGCGTCAAGTTTAGGAATGTCAGACTCTGTGAACCGGTCCTGTAGACGTACTTGATAGCGCCAGAGAACTTCCGAAACCGGTATTTCATTCCCTCCGATACTTCGGCTGGGAGTTTGAAGGGATACTCAATGTCCGGCATCACGGTCTCACTACTGTCGACAGGACCTTCTAACTCATCTGGGTCTTCTGCCTCGTTGACTTGCGAGGCATCTTGAGTAAGGTCCTCATTTCTGTGCCGAGCTCTTATGGTTTCTCGCAGCATGGTAAGTTCGTCGGATGTTAATTGGATGACCGATTGACGTGGTGGTAGGCGAAATGATAGATCCCTTGAGGGTTTCCGGTTTCCGTTCACTTTCTTGGAGGATGGAAATACGAAGTCTTCGTCTTTTTTTTAAAGCCCGACCATTCTTCAAACTCCTCACCTCTCTCTGCTCGGTACGCACTAAGTCAGCTGTGACTTGTGGTCCCATTGTAGAAGCGCAGTAACGCTCCTAATTCAGCAGATGCGTTAAAATTGTAGATGATGGTCTGACCATAGCAAGGGAACGCTTAGGAAGCTTGGAATGACTTTTAAATAAACCTACAAATGATATTCACCCTGAAACCGGTTTCGCTCTTCGAGTGCTTCTCGAACAAATGAGGAAAACAGGAAAGACGCAAGCATAGAAACGAAATTAAGTGAGAACAGACACGAAACAGATATTTCTGAGAGCATTTCCAGATGGTTTAAAGATAGGCTTGATGCTGCTCTTCGTTTGTAGATCAGACGATCAGATGGCATGTTATCTTGAAGCCGTGGTGAAAGAGGAATGACTGATAGTATTATCAATCAGACTATCAGAGAGTCCGTTTGCACTCGGGAATATTTCGTAATTCTGACTTCGATGTATTCTGACCCCTGGAGAATACATCCTGATGCCGGAGAGGGAAAGGATCATGAGCAAGAAGGACGCGAAAATGAGTGATATCTCTGACTAAGATAAAAACTTGAGGCTACCGTATTCCTTCAATTATAGAAAAAGGGACTTATCAGAAACGGTCAATGTTAAACCCATCGAGAGCTTTGATTCAGAGAGATCTCGTCAAGCGTCGAACCGGTTTCATAAAGAATACATTTCTGGAAGACTAACAAGGTCTATTCTGCGCCTCATTTTCGAATCTGCGGTGAATTTGATATACTGAGCTTCATTCATATATAACGCTGCAGCACGATTGAGAGGTTGCTCAGGATTATGAGAACTTCTTTCTGATGCTTCCTTTCTTTTTCAAATCTTTAATCTTTCTCGCATCTAAGCTTTGTCATTGAGGCCACTCAAAAGCAGATAGGAGGAGTAAGATCAGCTGTCTTGATGAAAGTATAACGATAATGAGAAGGGATGGCTATGTCTTTCCTATTTCCATTCTGAGGGATAGTCCTACACCATCGTGGCGACCGAAGAATATCGCTATTTTGGGAGTGCAATTTCCACTTGCATTTTTATACAGTACGGAGTACAGTGCAGCTGCGTGTCTCTCGTAAGGGGAAGAGGAAAAGGGTAGAAATAAAATGGCAAGGATTGCTGGAGCACGTGACCGCGGAATTAGAGCCGAAAGTTTTCCAAAACGCAACATCTGTCTCCAAAGCTCACGCTTGCATTCGACAGCTGCAAGGTACACCACACTTCCGTTCTTCGTGCTTTTTAAAGGGATATTTTTGCAAAAGGTTGATTACGTTAATACTCAGAACATTCGAGAGGCATTTTGTTCCCCAATTCGCTCTTTTTGAGCATCTATATCGATACCCAAATATGCTATCCGCACTCGGCGGCTTCCAGCCGCGACAACTCGCTACTCAAGTCCTCAATTTCGCCCTCGTCCTCTCTACCGCGTTTATGCTATGGAAAGGTCTCTCCGTCGTCACCAATTCTCCGTCACCAATCGTGGTTGTGCTGTCCGGGAGCATGGAACCCGCGTTTCAGAGAGGTGATCTACTGTTCCTGTGGAACAGAGGGATGGACACGCAAATCGGAGAGATCGTGGTATACAATGTGAAAGGAAAGGATATTCCTATTGTACATCGAGTGGTCAGGCGGTTTGGGGGAGGGTGAGTATTCTTTAATCCCCAAAGCTTGAGCTGAGATGGACGTCTCTGATCGATGTGAAAGCTAACGTCGTTATAGATCAACACCACTACAAATTCTAACGAAGGGCGACAACAATGCCGCAGATGACACAGAGCTATACGCGCACGGTCAGAACTACCTCAACCGCGTGGAGGACGTCATTGGAAGTGTGGTGGCGTTTGTGCCCTCGGTTGGCTATGTCACGATATTACTGAGCGAATACCCGTGGCTGAAGACGGCCATGTTAGGACTTATGGGTTTAACAGTGGTTCTTCAACGGGAATGAGTTTACAAGGTTCAATTAATGCCATATTGAGCTTCTGAAACTATTATGCGGCCTGAATACACAAAATATAATGATCAATTACACCCACTCCGTACTCATTGGTTGTGTGAGTCACTGATCGGTGCCGTGATTTCCATTCCAACCTCCCATTACCCAAATGAGTGACTCAACACCTCCGACATCTGACCATGGAGCATAGAATACCCAAACCCAAAAACTGAATTGTCCACCGTGGCGAACAAAAAGATTTGGCTTCAACTGCGGGAGGCAAGGATCGAACTCGCGATTTCTGCTTTGAACCAGACGATTAGTACTGGGAAAGCAGCGCCTTAACCACTAGGCCACTCCCGCCATTACTGTCTTTTTCTGCGGAGTATCCTTTTGAGCTTTTGTCTCTTCGCTCTGAGTATACGGTCAGGCGGTGATTCATGCAGGAAGCCGTGTGGCTGATATTGCGGGAATGGGAAGGTACAATCGTGCTCGAGGTACGCTGACAATGACTTTAGATTGTAGCGTCAGAAGGAGTATATTTTGGGGAAATCATCTCTGAATATTCTTTCTACTGGTTGGATCCGATGTACTCAAGATGAGATTCGAAACGAGAATACGGGTCAAAGCAGATCTAATTTCACACATAGGTAGGCTCAAATTGAAAATCGAGAACCAAATGAGTTCCTTGACTACTTATAATAAAGTCATCTGTTGTCGAGCTCTTATGCTAGAAGAGCTCAGATAAGTCAACAGTTTTATTGATGGTAAGCAGGATAAATCGTCCCATGAAGTGCACCGACCGAGGAACCCCTGCTGCCACCGACCGCTAAGAAATTTCCCCTTAATAGCAAGACATGATACTTAAACAGAAGAAAGCTCCAGATGATATTTATCGATTCTGAAGGCTCGTATTGACGTAGATCAAGACATCAATCAATCTTCGTCCTCCTCGTCTTCATCACCGGCCTAAAGAGTCGATCAGATTCGCCAGTACAGCTTATAAGTAGTTATCGAAACTCACATTAGCATATGCGACCTTCTCCTCTTCGTATCGCTTCTTATCCGCGGCAGCTTTGGATTCATATGGCTGGCGCTGCTTTTCTGAAAGAGCCTTCCATTTCTCTCCCAGAATTTTGCCGACCTCACCTGAGAGGATGTAAGAAACAAACCAATGATTCACAGGTGCATTTAACATACCGAACTTGATACCTGGGTTGTCCTCACGGACCTTCTCTCGTTGCTCGTTCGCGAAGAACATGTAAGCGGAAAGACCACGCTTGGGTGCGTTGGGGTCTGAGACGCTATGTTAACTGGAGAACGAGCAATTTGGCCTGCGAACCCAACTTACCCTTCTTCTTCTTACCACCGGCGTCGGCCTTCTTGGACTTTCTGGTAGTTGCCTTTTCCTTTGGCATGATTGAATGAGAGATCAACTATCTTCAGCAAAGTGGACTCCTGTCAGCTATGCAATTCAATTACCAGTAATATAGATGGTCAAGGGAGCAATGGGAAAAGTAAAGTAGAGAGATTTTCTAAGCGAGATATGCAAACCACTTTACTAGGCGCAGGTTACAAGAAGGTCATGCGACGCAAAGTGCAGCGTTGGAAGAATGAGTGATGTAGAGACTATGATGGTGATGTGATGGTGGACTAAGTATCCAAATTACCCGATCGGGCACATTGGTCCCCAAACAATAACAATCACGGAACAACGGAAGCTGAGGTGAGCAGAAGACGATAAATTGAAACTTACTGATTGAGAACTGGTATAGGTGAGTCAAGTCGAGGCTAGCGATTTGATCTTGGTGGTTGTCAGTACCGAACAGCATATTGTTCCTCAGCGACGGCGAGATGAAGCTGATTGAGAGAATGAAGCGGGAAAAGAGGGTGATGATGAAGCAAATGTAACAGAATATCGCGCGAAAATGCAATAAAAACGCGTGAAAAAAAAGGGTTGAGCGCGGAGCTGGTATGGTGGAGTGGATGATATAGTAGTGTACGAGCATACAAGCGATATGGGGAGAATACTCACAGTGAGAAGAGTACCAGGCGTTTTGTTAGGAGAGGTTTTTTGGTGAGGAAAAGTGAGAGAGGACTCTGTGGTGCTGGCACTGCAAGTTTGTATGGGGGGAGAAGACCTTCCCTCACTATCTATGCGGTCCGAGCGCCCACCTGCCCCGCCAGGCAAAACAAGAACCCAAGGCCATTCAGCGCATTCAGGGCAGACGAGGGCATTCCTCTCTTTCATTAACCCCCATCTACCATCCCTTTTCCCTTTTTCCCTTTAGGAGCAACTACGTAAGGGTAGCTAGGCCCTCTTCTCTCTCATAACTGTACGCTTTCATAAAACACCGGGCATGAAAGCTTTGTCATCTCAATATCCAACCACTAAAAGTATAGCTAACAGGTCGTTATATCATGCAACATCTTTATTACAGCTTTCATACATTTCATGACATTCCCCGAACCGCTACACACTCATGTCAATTTCCCCGTGACAGACGCGGTACCTACCTTACTGTACCAGTCCACATCTGCAACAAAAGAGAACTGCTCCCAGGATGAATGCCTACGCCGAAACGGCATGTAGCTCAGTCACGTTTGCATATACCCGCTGCAATCAATTTGATCAAGTACCCTTATCATAATTTCTTCTCGTCTTCCATACTACGTCTTTGTTTTGATAATGATGTATTCCAAGCATTCTAACTCCCAACTAATAATTTAAGGTACTGAATGAGTCTGGATCACAGAAGATCAACTCCAAACCATCTTCGTCATATCACATATCACGTGATGAGAATATTCTTAGGCTTGATGGCGTTAACCCGATGCATCCTTCCACAACAGCTCCGAAACGCAACCTTTCCACCATCCTGGATACCTGGCGCAATTGTTGTGCAAAGGACAGCTCGCTACCTACTTGAACTAGACATCAGGAGTTTATCTACGGAGTACCTTACCACCTATCGGGAAATGTTTGCAACCAGTAACGATTCTCGATATCAGCATTCTTTGCCTTGATTGGCTGCATGTTCACGAGTCGTTGCCGTTGCACAATATGTATTCTTATTCAACTAGATAGCAATACGAAAAGTTGTCAACGTATTGTTGTAAATAGATAGTTAAACTAAGAAAAGAAAACGTGAGATCAAGATAGGTTAATGTACGCTTACTTCCGACTTAGTCATACGTACTCCTCGTACTGAATTAACGTGTTCCAAGGTACTATCAGCTGTATAATGCGTAAGCTGTACATTTGCCAGAATATCTATCGAGACCCAGAAGTGAGTGTCTAAAGGGGAGTATTGCAAGCGTACGACAACAGCGGAGTCTGAACGCGGTAAGGGAAGAATGATCGTACTACTTAGACTGGAGAATCACCGATCTCAACTTCTCAGTACTCTCAGCTGAAATTGGAGTTGGGGAGACTTTTTTCCTTTTGTCGTGGCAGACAGCTGTCAGTCAGTGTATACTGACTGGACTTGTACTGCACGCATAATTGCTTCAGAATTGTCGAACAAGTCGTTATGGAAGGTATTTCTTATTCCTCTCATTCCCCATCATCCTCATCATCCATTACTAAATCTCTCAGATTGTCATCATTTGCCCACGCAATACCGCTCCCGACGATGATACCAGACGTGATACTCTTCATTGTTCGCTTACATCTTATGGATATCCGATTCTGTGCATCAAGTTGCTGAATTTGCAAACGTAGTTTCGGATCAGAGACTTCATCCGTTTTCTGCGATTTTAACTCCTGAGCAAGAGGGATCAGAATGCTTGCTAAGTCTCTGTTCCTCTGATTCAATGACACATTGGCTTCGTCGGTCTCAGTAAGATCGGAGGACAATGTAGATAGTTTGGATGTCAGCGTCGAATTGATCATGGACAATAGATCACGCTCATTTATCAAGCAGTTCAATCTTCTAACTATTTGTTAGTCGACTTTCTGTGTCTATTCGCTATGACGCACCTCTCAGCGGGCGTTGCATTTGAATGAACTGCCTTTAATATTGGATCAGAGATAACAACATTCTGTATAACTTTGTTGCGGATTAAGTACTCAGCTCTTGCTTCTAAAAGTTCGCGCTCTGCGATTTGAAGCTGAGCGTGGAGGTCATTCTCTGAGATATTTAAGACATCGTCGGTTGTCACTGGGACACCGTTAGATCTTACTCATGACACCATCTCATGACTTACAAGACCCTTGTGCGCTCAAAAGTTTCTGTTCAAGTATGATCTCTTCTTCCTGATCGAACAGAGCGAGGACTGCGCTTTCTATATCTGAAAACGAAGTCGAGTCTTCTTCGATCGATTCTAAGATGGATGTGACGCTGTCTGCTAATGATTGAGACATCACTAAGTCGCTGACACACGTGCTCGAAGAAGAGCACTCCTATGAAATTTGGAAGATAGATGCACTGTACATGTCTTCTCCACTTGCACCTCAATGATTATTGTTTAACGCGTCGGATGTTTACACTTGAATGTGCAAGGATGCGCCGCTAAGGTGGTCTTTGAGCACCTTGACTTTCCATTCGGACCAACCACTCGGAGGTGAAGCTATTGCTTGGCTTCGAGATCTACCTTGACCATGGATTTCGCTGACAGAAACTCTCCTTCTACGCAACCCGCTCTCTCGAGCGTTCATGAATCCAGCAACGGAGGTTGGGGACTCAGAACAACAGATTTGCGGATGTCGTTGCAGCTCTATGTAGCCCACACGGGTGAACGTTACGATGTCGACCCGGTATCCTTCAGCTCGCTCGATGCATTGCGTAACTGGTTGTCGAAGACGACGTCTATACGATCTCAGGATCAGATACTACTTACAACACGGGGCAAACATGTCAAACTTCAGGCGCTTCTGACAGAGGTATGGTTTCTATTTGTTTCATGTGTAGCTTACCACTAACGCCTGCTCAGAAAGAACTTTTTCTCTACGACCGAAACTCTTTTACCTTGAGCAAATCTAGCAATGCAGTTCCAGAGAGCCCTCTACCTAAGAAATACTTACCCGAAAAAGCACCGGATACATTAACAGATCAGAATGATCTCAAAGCATGGCAAAGTCTCTTCAAATCTCGGCGCGATTGGAGCGTAAATATCTTAGAGCGCTGCAGGCTGATGGCACAAGAAGCGCAGAAAATCTTTCAAGAACAGTCAATTATTGAACGGGGCCCTCGCGTGGCCAGTGGTAATCATGAATCGCATGTGCGGTCTTTAGAGCAGAAACATGCGGAGAATAGCAAGTGGTACTCAGATCTCACCCAGGAGCAAGAAGCCAATCTTGTCCGGTGGGAGCAGGACCTCGAGCGGTTAAAGTCGATCCCCGCAAAGCCATCGTTTCTCCC